AACTGGTGCCAGAATCACACCTGATATATACAGCGTCTATATATATGGCGGCCCTGTGCAATGCTGCTCTCACTGCAATGCTTGTGGATCTCCGTAGATGACTGCTAATACTAAACCTTCTTTCCGAGAGGATAATTCCTGAGGAAGTCACGTGTGCAGTGGATGAAATGCATACAGGCGGGACTAGAGGATGACATCATGACACTCAGAAGGAAGGTTCGGGAGAGCATAAAGCGGAGAAAGTACAGAACCGATGTCTCCTACTATATGGCATGAATCATGACAGTAGACACTACTGGTAAGGCACCCTTGAAAATCATGACAGTAGACCTTGTGGATTTTTGGTAGATGATGGATACAGTGGACAAACTAGATCCTACAACACCAAAGATTTCTGCAGTTTTCTCAAACTCAGGACTCCCATAGACTTACCCTCTGAAGATGAGTTTAGTCCACAAGAAGCAGCAATTTGAAACTGTGTGAGATTTTTGTTTTAAGGGAGGTACACATGTTGGTGGTGCACTGGCATTGGATTAAGGTGTCACAATTAAGAGCCTCCTCACGATGGTCATTAACACAACAAGAGCCGAACCCCCCTTTGTCTGCTTCCCAATATGACTAGGTACCTCTTCATTCTTCTTTTTACAATCCATATGAACTAGTTATCCATAGGGGGGTCACAATTGCAAGTAATAACATTCTTCTTGGTTAAATCTCTTTAATTATGGTTTCCCACAAGAATCCTTTGAAACAATCATTTTTTTCTCCATAAACATCATGAACCACCCCCACTGGCTGATCTGTGTGGTGGCAGGTCTGAAATGAATACTGGGCCTGCACCTCTATGCCTAGTCATTTGGACAGGAATATAAAAAATACCTATCCCCCTTCTCATGAGGACACTAGGCACTACTGTGAATATCCAAAACACTACCCGAGAAGAGTCTAAGACCTGAAGTTTTGTTCTCAGAGTACGCCATTCATGCAACAATCTCAACTAAATAAAAATTGTACCCTCTTTATACTCAAAATGTTAAACAACAAAATTTCCTACTCCTCACATCCAACTGAAATGTCCACAGCATTGTCATCTGACACGTTTAAAATGCTACGTGGTGGATAACAATTTCTGATTGAATGCTATTGGGGGGAAATTTTTTCTATAAAGTGATAGTGTGGAAAACTATTAATGTGAAATGGTGGGGAAAAAAGACCACCCACTAACCAATAGAAGATAAATCTGTGCATCTGTCTCAAGAGAAAAAACCATCCTGATGCAGAGCAAACCGACAAGACATTAATCTATGTTAGGAGGTCTGAAGACTCCTTTCTTTCTACCTCTTCTGTACTTTCTGCCACACTGGATAAATTATCTGGCTCTCATCCCTCCCTGTCATTGTTTCTCTTTTCCCTTTTTTCTGTTTGACTAACTTCAAATAACCCAGGGGAGTCTCGTTTTTTAGACTATCTTCCTCTCGGTAGAAAACCGTATTCTCTGCGCATCTAAACTTTGAAAGGGATCTATGAGACTACTGATCTGATGCCTCAGATTGTACTTCTGATACCTGCAGTGAACTAAAACTAACATTTTAATCACCCCCATCCCTTCTATATTTGTGCTCTCTCAATTTTTTTAAAAAATTTGAACAGGGGGTGGAGGAAACATTCTGATTCCATCTACCCTATTCAAAAACACAGTCACTCTGATAGTCCTTTACATCCCATAAATACTAAGATCGCTTAGTGTCTATAATCAATTTTTATAAATGACCCACTGACTTGTAAAGTTTTCTATTCAGATCTTCATATATTGGTAAGTGTATGTACTTATGTACTTATCAAAAGAAGCTTTACACTTTTGTACTTCCATAGTTGCTGTTTGCATAGCAGTCTCCTCAGATGATATGAGTAATTTCATCAGATTCAATGAGCAATCCGACAGAATATTATTCCATTCTTTTACAAAAGAATAAGAATAGATAGTAGATGGTATTTTTTTTTCAGTTTCAGACCACAGGAGATCATTTTTTGATGAACATATTGCCTTAAATCTGTTAGATCCCACCAGATTATCATTCTATCCTTGTTAGCATAGCATAGCTTTTCTAAATTTCAAAAAATATATGTGAAGACCACACTCACATCCCAGTTGAAAACTTGTGTCATTTTCTTCTGATCATCCTGCTCAGGGATGGATCAGTCAGCTACACTTGTTTTATAGCAGAGTAAATACCTGAAACCACATTGTTGGAATCCTGGTTGTCCGGAGCTGACATGATCAGAACAATCCAATGCTGAAGGTGAAAATCACACAGAAGGGAGAGCCCAGCCGGCAAGCATCAATGAGAAACAAGTGTGAGGATGCTACTACCTTCTTCAATTTCCATGCTGCCTGGAGGCTGCTGATACCCCCACAGATCAGGATGAAGACAGGAATGGCCGGCACTCAGAAAACCATCCGAAGTTATACTTCTTTATTATAGGAACATGTAAATAGCTAAAAATAGCCAAAGCATTTTGGACAATTAGTCCTTAGTCATGGCTAATACAAAACAGTATAAAACACACTTTTATAGTTGCAAAACAGGTCACATGATAACCCAACACAGGTGGAATAAAAATGATAAAAGCAAATAGAAAACCCATCATGGCTCGGTGCACTGGAACGCTTGACAGGTAAAGACACAATCAAAAAAAATTCACATTCCAGGAGTCTGTGTCTGTGCAGCACAGTGGCTAAACAGTTAACACTTCCGCCTGTCAGTACTAGGGTCGTTGGTTCGAATCCCAGCCTGCGTGGGTTTCCCTGTGCCTGCGTGGGTTTCCTCCCACACTCCAAAGACATGCTGGTAGGTGAATTTGCTCCTGTCTAAATTGTCCCTAGTATGAGTATGTATGAATGTGAGTTAGGCACCTTAGATTGTACACCCTTTGAGGGTTAGGGACTAATGTGAATGTACAATATATATGTAAAGCACTGTGCAAATTGACGGCACTATATAAGTACCTGAAATAAATAAACCACAAAATGAAAGAGAGGACATGTCACTCCTATGTACATCTTTAAAATGTCTTGATATATAATAGAAACATTCCTGGTATTAAGGTTCACACCTTTGCAGTAATGTTCTGAAATACATACATGTAAAGGACTTATGGTACAACCCACATATTGCAAATTACACATTGTGTCAAGTCAACCACATGGTCTAAGCCACAGTTGATGTACTGTATTAGGAAATGCTGCATGTCCCCTCTGTGAAAAATATGTTTTGTGAGTCAGCACATGTAGATATTGTAGGGTACAAAGACCCAGTAAAAATAATACACCTTTTGTCACAGAGGTGGCATTTGTGGGGGCATCAGCAGCCTCCAGATCTGAGCACTGGGCATTGAGGGAGGTAGTTGGGTCCTTACACCTGTTTCTCCTTGATGCTTCATATAGCTAACTCCACAGAGTGGTCTTATGGGAATTACCTAGATCACCTATCCAGTGTACTTACTATTGAGGTTCTTCTTAAATACTGTCTTCAGTTTGCTACAAACAAGTTAACTATTGCTGTGGCTAGACATGTGCACACCAGAGATTTTTGTTTTGTTTCCTTTTGGATGCATTCTTTCATTGAAGAATTTAATTGTCATATTTCATTGTTGAGCCGAACCATTTTTGGAATTAATTTCATATCTTTGGCATTCATTTTGCATATTCATTGGTCTGAGTGGCTTTGAAAAATGTTGCAAGTTTTCCCGGAAGATTGCTATATTTTCGAGTCAGATAAATTTGAATTGGATGGATTCAATATTTTTGGAAGCTAGTCCCACCCACCAAGAGAAATAGCATGAGCTGATTGGACAATATCTACTGGCCTCAAGTGCACATTAATTAACGAATGGAATTAAATCAATTGGTTAACCGAAAAGGAATTATCGAACAAATATAAAAATTTTATTAATTTCCCCATGGGCCCAAACTACTATTGCATCATATGACATCATCTGAATGAAACAAATTAATTTGTTAATTTCATTATAACTTTTTTCATATTTGTTGTCATTCCTTACCATGTCCATTTGGAGATTCATATACATCCGAATCTCATTCTGAAATAGAATCATACTAAAAACAAAATGCAAATGTATAACTGTGGCCAAACAACTGCATCTTTGATTGACCAGATTTCAGACCTGGACTTTGCCTAATTGTACAATGGCAAACTATAATTTTGCTTTAATGATCTTTTTGGACAGTGCAGGCTTTTTCTTAACATCCCGCTCATGCAGATTTAATTGATGCAATTTCTTTCTAATTGTAGATGCATGCACTTAAACCCAAGATATTGCAAGAATTGACTGAACAACCCATAATTAATATTTTTGGGTTCTTGGAGACTTCTTTTAGCATCAAATGGTCAGCTCTCGGGTTGAATTTGCAAGGTCAGCCAGTCCTGGACAAACTTGTAGTTGTTTGAAATCTATGCCACTTGTAGATTATTTTCCTTCAGTGGAATTACTGATTTCTAATCATTTGCCAATCTTTTTAAATACCCTTTCAGATTCATGGGTATCCACAACTTTCTGAGAGCCTCAGAAAACTCTTTTTACCTTGGCATGATTACACCCAGGGCCTGTGCTTCCACTAGGCAAACTAGGTGGCCGCCTATGGCACACTGCCACCTAGGGGCACCTGGGTGCTGGCTGGCACTCTCTCTGTGTGGGATGCCGCCATATCATAAATGATCCTTCAGTTGAAGGGAGGGGCAACAAAGGGGAGGAAGAAAGGACAGAGGAAGATGCTGGGTTTCTGGGGCAAGTGTAGCAGCTGAGCTGTTCTGAGAGTGTTCATCTCAGACTCAGTCCCTTACTGCATCCCGGCTGGTGGATGCTGATAACTGTGGAGTTCCAGCCTTTCTCTTCCCATTCATCAGCAGAGGAAGGTAATGTCTGAATCTGAAGCCTTATGTTTGTGTGAGTGTGACCAGGCTGGCAGGACATCCATCACATGTCAGTAAGTGATAACATCATCATGATCCCACAGCCTGCTTTTCTAGTGCCTGCTGGGCCTGCTGATCTGTGTCAGTGTTGCTGGCGGTGTGTTGTGTTGGATCTGTCACTGTGAGAGATTGCTCAGTTCAGCAGCCTGCTTCCACAGCTTTTTATCTGCCCCCCATTGCCTGGGGATTTCCAGCCTGGGATTTGTTAGAGTGTGGATCCATCATCCTCCACTCACTGCAATTGTCACCCTGTCACTGCCAGCCACAGATACAGTCTGTCTGTGATACTGATTTTGTCTTTAATATTGGTGCTGGTAGCATCTTATGGCACTTATTTTTGCAAATTAAAAGAAATGTATTGATTCTTGTTTTGTTGATTTAATATTTCTTACTGTTTTTAAATTTTTTTTTTTTGGGGGGGGGGCAAAAGTAGCTGGTCTTGCCTAGGGCGCGAAAAATAGTCTAGCACAGAGAACACCAGTTCCCAGGTGTTTGAGGTTTAATAAAACAAGTTCCACAAGCTTACTCCCTAAGGCTAGGTTCTCACATACATCATGAAGGTTGCATTTGAGCCATTTCTGCATTGCATTTTGCATTTTTGCACTTGCGTTTTTGTCACGTTTTTGATGTGTTTTGCGTTTTTTTCTTGTTGCTAAGCAGATTTAAAATGCAAAATCCATCAAAAACTTTGCAAAAAAGCAGCAAAAAACGGAATACATGTTTTTCTCCAGCATTTCCATTGAAGTCTGTAGAACCAAAAAAGCAACTTTTTGCATTCAAAGAAGTCCCTGACCCTTTCCAAAAAACACCCCGGGTGAAAACGCGCAAATGTCCCATAGGAAATCATGTTAAATAGACTGTACTGCGTTTCTGAAAAAGGCTGCAGAAAACGCTTAGGTGTGAACCTAGGGTAAGGAGGTTCTAAAGATAAACACCAGATTATAATTTAGTTGATGTAGGGGCCTGCTTACCATATGACAAATCTGCATTTTCTTTAAAGGGTAGCTCTATTCTTTTTGGTAGAAATAGCAAATAAAAAATGTCATGTCATTTCCTGCTTGTGTGATTGGCTCACTGATTTTCCCAGAAGTCTGTACTAAGACACAAATCAGATTTTAAGCATGCATTGCAACGGTTGGTGTACAAAATAGTCTTATGGGAATTATTCCCCTGTCAACCCTGACTGTGTTTATGGTGGGATCAAGCTGTTTTCTTTCGTTCCACTAGTAGTAGAAGGGAAGAACATCAAGTAATTCATGGGCTGCTTAAGATCCAAATCAGATTTTAGGCATCATCTGCAACAAAATATTTATTTTTGGTCAGATTCTCCCAAAGCATTAATCATTTCTAAAAGGACACTGAGTGCAGCCGACTTGTATAGGCACAATCTCTTACCTGTATGTTGGCAGTGGCTTCTGGGTTCAGGGAGAGAACACTCGCCCAGCCAACTCCCACTGTGATTGGACACAGCAGGATTTTGTCAACAGGTCTCAAGGAATGATTCATGGCTGAGACATGTTGATCTGCTGTGTCCAATCCCAGCCCGGAGCCCTGTGCTGACAAACACACAAGGCACTCTTTGTTTTGTCTCTGCAAAGCAGGGTGAAGGAACAAACAGATATTTAGTAAAAAAGCAACACACATTACAAATTGTTAGGCACACAGTTAACCCTTTGATCACCCTAGATGTTAGCCCCTTCCCAGCCAGTGTCATTAGTAAAGTGTCAGTGTATAGTATTATCACAGATCACTGTGTTAGTGTCACTGGTAATGTTAGTGTCAGTTAGTCAACCTCCCAGCCAGCGTCACTTAGTGTCAAATTCCTGTTGCGCAATCAAAGTACCACTATAAGTCGCTGATCACCACCCACCATTACTACTATAAAAGATAAATAAATATATATATACCCCAGTTTGTAGACACTATAACTTTCATGTAAGCCATTCAATATACACTTATTGTTTAGTTTTTTTTACCAAAGCGGAATACATTTTGGCCAAAATTTATGAAGAAATAAGACTTCTAAATTTTAGTTAGTGGATATGTTTTATAGCAGAAAGTTAAAAAAACTGTTTTTTTTTTTTCAAAATCTTTGGTTTTTGTTTATTTATATAATAAAAAAACAGTGCTGATCAAATTCCACCAAAAAAAGCTCTATATCTGTGAAAAAAAATTATATACTGTACGGTACATACATACAATATGAAATGATGACAACTGTGATTCTAGTAGGACACTGATGGATAAATAGTTACATAGTTAGTTTGGCTGAAAAAAGACAAAAGTCCATTCAGTTCAACCACAAAAAAAAGTTATAATCCTACACCCACAATTGATCCAGAGGAAGGCAAAATATCCAGCAAAGCATGATCCAATTTGCTCCTGCAGGGAAAAAAATTCCTTCCTGATCCCCCAAGAGGCAATTGGATATTTCCTGGATCAACTTTACCTATAAATAGTAACCAGTTATATTCTGTGTATCCAAGAAAGAATCCAGGCCTTTTTTAAAGCAATCCACTGAGCTGGACAGAACCAACTCTTGCGGGTGTCGATTCCACATTTTCACAGCTCTTACTATGAAGAAACCTTTCTGTGTTTGGAGAATAAATATCTTTTCCTCCAGAAGAAAAGAGTGTCCCTTTGCCCTCTGTGATGACCTCAGGGTGAATAACTCTACACCAAGTTCACTATATGAACCACTGATGTATTTATACATGTTGGTCATATCCCCCCTTAATCTCCTCTTCTCAAGAGAGAATCAATTCAGTTCCTCTAATCTTTCCTCAAAGCTGAGCTCCTCCATGCCTCTCATCCATTTAGTTGCCCTTCTCTGTACTTTCTCCAGTTTCCCAATGTTCTTTTTGTGAATTGGTGCCCAAAATTGACCTGCATATTCCAGATGAGGTATTACCAGGGGTGTATTTACCACAAGGCAAACAAGGCACTTGCCTAGGGCAGAATTTTTCAGGGGGGCAGCACCTCCCCCCAGATGCAGGGATGAAATAAAGGACACATGCTCCATGGGAACCAAATGAGATCTGAGAGAGGCTGTGGGCTGCTTAATGGTGTATGTAGAGCCTGGCTCTCATTCCCGGGGATGTCCGGAGATGAAGATGAGTGCCTTTCTCTCTATGGCCGAGGGGGGGGGGGGGGGGGGGGTGGTAGTTTAAGGCAGGGGTGTTGTTGGTCACTTTCCATGAGGGGAAAGGGGGGGGGGGTTGGTGCTGGTCGGTGTCCATGGGGGTGGACAAGGTTTGTGTTGCCTAGGGCAGCACAAAACCTAAATACACCAATGGGTCTTACTAATGATTTGTATAATGATATCTCTCTCTCTGGAGTCTATACCTCTTTTAATACAAGAGAGGATTTTGCTTGCTTTAGAAACTGCAGTTTGGCATTGCATACCATTATTAAGCTTGTGATCTACCACAACTCCCAGATCCTTCTCCACCATTGATTCCCCCAGTTGTACTCCCCCTAGTATGTATGATGCATGCAGATTCTTAGCCCCTAACTGCATAACCTTACATTTATCAATATTAAACCTCATTTACCACATAGTTGCCCAATTAAACAGTGCATTGAGGTCGGTTTGTAAGTTGGGGACATCCTGTAAGGACGTTATTCCACTGCACAGCTTGGTGTCATCTGCAAAAACTGAAATAGTATCTAAAATCCCAGACTCTATATCATTTATAAATATATTAAAAAGTAAGGGTCCCAACACTAAACCTTGGGGTACACCACTGACAACCCTAGACCATGCAGAGTATGAATCATTACCACTATTCTCTGAATACGATATTTTAGCCAGTTTTCTAACCATTTACATACAGATACACATTACATCCAAGCATGTAGACTTTACCTTACACATTAGCTGTGTGTGGGGAACTGTGTCAAAAGCTTTTACAAAATCCAAGTATACCACATCCACCGCCACCCCTCTGTCCAAGGTTTTGCTTACCTCCTTATAAAAAGAAATCAGATTTGTTTGATAACTTCTGTCTTTCATGAATCCATGCTGTCTGTTGCTTATAATATTTTTTTCCAGCACAAACTCATCTATGTGGTCTTTTATTACACTCTCCAGTATCTTCCCAACTATAGAAGTTAAACTAACAGGTCTATAATTACTTGGTAAAGATTTTGACCCCTTTTTAAAATATTGACACCACATTAACCTTACGGCAGTCCATTGGTACTATGCCAGTCATTAAAGAGTCCCTAAAAATTAGAAACAATGGCGTTGAAATGACAGAGCTCTATTCTTTAAGGACCCGTGGGTGTATGCCATCTGGTCCAGGTGCTTTATTCATCTTTATACTGTCTAAATGTTTTTGGATCATATCAATTGTGAGCCAATGTAGATCATCTGGAGCTGTGTCAATACCATGCCCATTATGGACAAGAGCTCCCCTATGCTCCTTTGTATACACAAAGCTGAAGAAGGTATTTAATAAATTTGCCTTCTCTTTGTCCCAAGTCACCCACTCTAGATTATTTTGTAAAGGGCCTATATGCTTGGACCGAACCTTTTTACTATTAATATATTTGAAGAATTTTTGGGGGTTGGTCCTGCTATCTATTGCAATCTGTCATTTGTTTTCAATTTTTGCGGCCTTTATTTCCTTTTTGCATATTCTGTTATATTCTTTGTACTGTTTAAATGATGATAGCGTTCCTTCATTTTATATTTAATAAAAGCTCTTTTCTTATTATCTATAGCTTTTTTTAACTTTGACCGTAAGCCACATTTTTTATTTTTAGCCTTTTAAACATGCTGCCCATGGGAATATATTTTGCAGCGTGTTCACATACAGTATTGTCTATGGGACTGTTTGACCATTCTTCCAGAAGAGCATTTGTGAGGTCAGGTACTGATGTCGGACAAGAAGGCCTGGCTCAAAGTTTCTAATTCATCCCAAGGGTGTTTTTTATTGGGTTGAGGTCAGGACTCTGTGGAGGCCAGTCAAGTTCCTTCACCCCAAACTCGCTCGTCCATGTCTTTATGGACCTTGCTTTGTGCACTGGTGTGCAGTCAAGTTGGAACAGGAAGTGGCCATCCACAAACTTTTCCCACAAAGTTGGGAGCATGACATTGTCCAAAATCTCTTGGCATGCTGATGCTTTAAATTTTCTCTTCACTGGAACTAAGAGGCCAAGACCAACCCCTGAAAAACAATCCCAACAAACCATAATCCCCCATTCACAAAACTTTAAACTTGGCACAATGCAGTCAGGCAAGTACCGTTCTCCTGCCAACCGCCAAAGCCAGATACATCCATCAGATTGCCAGACAGAGAAGCATGATTTGTCACTCCAGAGAAC